AAAGACACCGTCAGCCTCACCGTGACAATTGCGAGTATATATTCGGCAGCTTTATGCTTTTTTTTTATTAGCGTCATGTTTTTATTATTGGGGTCCTAGAGTATTTTATTACATATAACACTTCGATACATTTTTGATATGTTTATTTAATTTCAATCGATGCGTGTAATAATTATATTATGGACTAGCTTTCCGCCCGCAGCTTCGCCGCGTGGAGTTCGGTTATATCGCGTTTCCAAGAGAACCTTTCAAAAGTCTGGGATAAAAACTATCCTATGTTCTTTCTCAAGGTCAACTCTATCTCTGTACCGAATTTCATTAAAATCAGTTCAGTGGTTTAGGCGTGAAAGCGTAGCAGACAGACAGACAGACAGACAGACAGACAGAGTTACTTTCGCATTTATAATATTATAGTAGGGATTTATAGTCCGTAATTATTGGGACAATTTTGTTTTCTATGGACTTATTTCTATGGAAATATTGCTCAGTCATATTTATAGAATTATTTAAGTATCCAACTATGTATATCTATTATACTTATTTGAGTTATATGAACAGAAATATTCATAGAAATTTCGATGATAAATTCAAACGATCTATAAATAGTTCAATAATTTACAAACGTGTCACGTTTTAAGAACAAACATTTAGACATTTAATCGGTACATCGAGAGTATTATTTAAAAACAACTCACACACTCAATGTTGGCCACTTGGCATCCGACAGTCAACATTCACGTTGATTCCTTGTGTAAACAACTCATAACCTTACCCAATAACCGATGTATATCAAGTTGCTTTCGGAGTATTTCGATATTTTGTCTACACGGATGCTGGCGGTGAATCCACGACCAGCTATTCCTGAACCCTCGGACTCCAAGTGTCCGGTCTCGTTTAGAGCATAACGAATTCGGATGAGCGGCCAAGATAAATTGGTGGTGGATACATTGTAGCGTGAACGTGCCGTGGCTTCAACTCAACGGGCTATTATTGTTCTGGCCAGCACCGATGAAATATTGCCCCACTGTGCATGCCCGCACTGTTTTCGCTAACAAAATCTCTGTTAAAAACTAACGGTGGGAATTCGCATCGGAGATACGAGTTTTCAACTCCGGAAACACATTCGAACTTTGTTTTACGATACACAAAAAATCGATACCAATAATAGAACAGAAACATAAACTCTTTGACAAAAATTATTTACTTCTTAAGTCTTAAGATCATCTATCAGAAGCTTAATAAAAAAATCATTTATACCAAGCAGAGATCGTATTTTTTCTCAGAGAGGGGAACAGGGACAAGTGACAATTCTATACAAAGATAAAATTTCTATCACGCCTGAAGATTAGCCGCTATTGTAGTAGTGCAAGATTAAATGATAACTATTCGTTTGTTAATAATAAAAATATTTGGATTGTCAGTTTGGGGTGAAGCTCCCCTAAGTTATTATACCGCTACCTTATCAAATAGATACATATATCATATAACCAATTAATACGTATAGAAAATATATGAATTAGTAATCAATACTTAAAAAATTCCACGCCAATATTTCTACGTAACAAACACATGAAAATCGTTATCTAAATCGTAATGACTTATTACGTATACATTTAATGAAATAATTGTAATAACAACTGTATACAATTGTTCTGTGTATTTTAAAGACGATTTCTATTGTATTACGTACTGATAGTTCCAATTCATTACAAAACAACGTGCATTGTGACATATTATATTAAATAATATAATAAAAATGAATAAAAACAATGGCCATTATTAAACATGAATATAAGTTCAGCGTCAAACAAACATCGTGACAAATTTATATTATAATCGATAAAGTATAATTACGGCGCTGACATTGAGCGTAATTTCAAGGAAAACCATAGGTACATTTGTTATGTAAAATAATTAACATTGCGATTGAACTTTTACTGTCTACAATATATATAACATAAATATTCACAGTTTTATTATAACTGATTATTATTTATAACATACAAAGCCGATGTCAGTAGTCTACAGTAATGAAGATGTAATGGGCTTGCTAATCCTTTACTAAGGGGGTGTATTTCAAAAGATGTCACACAAATATGACAGCTATTTTGACAGTAATGCAACGTATTCGAAACACAGTGACAGTTGTCATAATAATAATCACAGCTTTATGTGTAAAATAAAAATTAAATTCTCTAACGGTTATTTTACATCTGTCAAATGTTACAGATTCGTTGTCTGTGTTCATCGATTTTTATTTTTCACGTTATTAATAATAAATTTAAATATCCGATACATGTAATAAATTATTTATCCACAAACATATTATTCGCGGTCCGACGCTCAACGTAAAATAAACAGTCTCATCAAACATTCATAACCAATCCCCTTTGTCAGGTCGAAAGCAAATAGGAGTGATGTTTTACAAAAAATTTATTCACAATTAAATATAAAAAAATTGCAATTACAATTAGCTCTGCCGAACCCGCGTCAATCGTGACACGAGATTATTATTGGACTTGCAAATTCATAAGATGATTGACATTCCGATGTGATCCTATTGTAACAAACAAGTTTGGCTCATCATAAATTCATTGATACCAGTTCCCATACTCTTGTAATTATCTAATCTATTTAATACAAGCATTAAATTAAAGCGAACACCCATATTTTAAGATATTCAAGGATTTATTAATATTTAAACATAAAAAAATGTCATACTGTTAAAAAAATATGAATAGTAATAATAAGATGAGATCGATATAAAACTTGTGAGAACCGTTTCTATAATTTAACTGGATAAGGGAAGTTTAAATGCAATTGTAAAGGAAGAGATGCATTTCAAGAGATTTCGTGACAATTTTATTATACAAAAAACTTGCCAATCAAGTTTAATTTAAAAATGAGGTTTAGGTGACGTCCCTTATTGTTGGGTAACCGTTAGTTTTTTCTTTAAAAAATGCGAATTTTATAAGAAAAAAAAATCTGTTGACGGGGGTCACGCCTTAACCAAAATTAAGTTTTATTCGTAAGCACCTTTATGCACTTTGACACGGGATGAACGCGTAAAAAATACATTCATTGGGTATATCCTTTTTTATACTGTATTGAGACATGAAATTTTTTGAAACGGTGGTTAGATAATGTTACCGTCTTAACTTAAACAATACAACCCCTTTAAGTTTACGTAGACATGTGAACTAACACTTAATCCGATCCTTACAATCTATAAGATATAGCTGGCATAGAAAATAACTTTACCCTTTAGTTAAGAAAAACTTAAATGTCACCAAAATTAGACGTGATTTTTTTTAATTTCACTTATAAAAGGACGTATATATTTTGATGTCAATTAATTTATTACAGACTATAATAATAATTGTTCCGCTTAATAAGGTAACAAGCATCAAAGAGACCTTCTGCTTGGCTGCGCGGAAGCAACTCGGTCAGCGTTCAGTCACATAACGATCCCACAATTGGCACCATTACCCTGACCTCACGTTCCAAATTACCCAACTTTGCTATAAATATATCAAAAGAAACAAAATTCCTTTTTATTTTGACATAATATGCATCATTATATCAATTATCTATCCAAAATAACATTTAAATCAAAGTTATTTGAAAATCTATTCAAATTTCATTTATTTTTCGTGGTTTTATAGAATAATTGTTACCAAATTTAATGATGAGCATCAACATCAACAAATGCGTGTTCACTAAAAGGACATGAATATACAAGGACCGGAATTAAATATCTACGCCTCATCGGATCACAATAGCATGGTTTGACTGCAACCCGACACCCACTACATTGAGATCTATCTGTTTACAATACATTTGATAGTAAAGCGAAAAGCGCTTACAATACATTTGATAATATGTCAAAAAGCGCTTCACTGGAATCGCTTTAATTACTATCGAACTCAAAAAGTATTTAGTAATAAAATTGATAAGGAATTAACTTTAAACGTAATAAATGACGATATAATATAAATAAGCGTTACAAAGCAATAATCACTATGAAAATAAATCATAAAGCGATTTACGTGTATTCTGCAGCGCCAAATATGTGTATTATAAAAGGCGCTTGCGCATCAATCTCTTAACATCTGATCTTCCGGTCCTTTGTGGTTCGTATTGCAAATCTTTATTTAATATTTCATGGTAATACATATCACAATTGACAATTAAATGCTACTTATAATATTTATTGAAAAGTCTTGAATATTCTACTGAGATCTTTAATAAATCTATGTTTTCACACGTTCTGCCTAAATAAAAGTGAAGTTTTTTCGTTTTTAGTATAAATATTACTTCGTTATTGATTTCATTGTTTTTAAATTAATTTTATCAGTTTCATTTTTTTTTACTCTGAATACCTACATTTTATAAGCGAAATGTGTGAAATTCGATACTGTCATACTTTTACCTATTTTGGTGCAATTCTGGAAAGACAGACAATTGATTTCCGTTTCCTATAGACATATATGACACACCCATAATATCAGATCTCAAAACGCACTCAATCGAAAATGTGATGCAATCGTTTCAAACGCGCCATTCTATTCTAAAGTATAAACTAAATCTGAACTTCCAAAAATACTTCTCACAACAACTATTAGAAAACTCAAAAGTTATTTCAAATAATGTTAATTGGAATACATTAATATTATCTACACAACCCTTTCTTAACACCAAACCTATTTGTTGGAACCTAATTAAGTGTGACACGACGACCAAAAAAATTAACTCAAAAAAGAACAAGCTGAGCTACTTAAGACATCAATAAAATAAACAGTTTACTGCTGACACTGACATTTCTTTCAAAGCTTCAGTTTTTAGTCATTATTTATGAAGGAGACCACTCAGTTGTGACACTTAATCCTCACTCGAAAGTGAAACAAGTGGTGTTAATGTCACCAAAGGACGCCTTGTCTTATTAGTGAGGCGGACGAATTGTGATTTTCAAGTGTAAAATATTAAAACAAAAAACTAACCTCTGACTTTCCATTGAACGGTCCGTATTTGGTTCCAGCTGGTATGTTAGTTTTGGCGACAATTCCTCCTGATTTCATTAATTTCAATTCTCTCGGTAGATTAGGTTCAGATTTCTCCAAGTCCATAAAATCGTCTTCATCATCGGGAGTCTTCGTTTGGTCCAAGAACCTGTCGTTCGGGAGGTCTAGGGGCCTGGAGAAGTATTTCCTGCTGTATTCGTAGTTACTTAGGTATGATTCTTGAAGACCGAAGTCCAGCGCGTTGTAGTATTCCTTCATATCTGTTCCGGGCGCCATATTTTCCTGTTTGATGTGGACTAACGTGGGGGCGGATTCTGATGTACCGGAGCTCGGACTTGGCGGAGGACTAACTGACTCCTGACTGTCAGCGGCTGTGGACAAAATGAAAATCAATAAAATCTCCATAGTACAATAATATAATTTCAGTCAGTGGTGGCCCAGTGGTTAAAGGGCCCGCCTCTTTTGCCGCGGGCGCGGGTTCGATCCTGGCCCGGGCAAGTACCAATGTGATTTTTCCGAGTCATATGTACTTTCTAAGAATATTTACACATCACTGATAAATGTTGTTTCCCAAAAGAGGGTTGATGTCAGGCAGGCGGCCGGTCGTAAAAACAAATAGCCAAAACTATACACAACATGTAAGGCAGACCCTGTCTATAGCTGGGAAATTGCCAGGTAGAAGAAGAAGATGTATGTAATTAATTTCGAGTGAATCTTAATAATAATCTCAAACGATCTTGCTCCTTGACAACGCGAACCTGTCTTATTTCAGACATAAAAAGATGATGGAATGCAGGACGGTGATCGCATTATGCGTGGTTTCCGTTCACCACAAAGGGCTTCCGCTTGTCTCTTAACTCAGAGCATCCCACCGAAATGCAAATCAACATGAAGATATGTCTTTGTTTTTTGTATTCTCTTTGCGATTATTAGCAATTTTTTTTTTCTATATTATACAACCTATCGGATGAATCATTTGAATATAATCGACACTTTTTTACAAGCTTATACCTAGTAACCCCATTATCCGTCATATTTAATAACAAAGACAAACTAGCTACGGTGTTTAGTCGAGAGAACGAATTCATTACGAGCGGACGCACGCGTGTCATCAATAAACAACATCCCCTAGTCAAATACAGCTGAAAGAGACACTCCATAAATCATAACCACCCCATTACTACTAATATACTTGTTAAAACAACCCCTATCTTGTCCATACGTCTTTCATAGCGCGTGCCATTAAAAAAAACAGCATCGAATTAGACGCTTCATAGATTTATATAACAATAAGATTACAAACGTGCAGTGATAACTGCTTAGCATTATAAAAGTGCAGTAACTGCCAACAATGCGCAGGATATGCGCGTCTTTAGAGGATCTCTTTTGTGAGTGAGCCTGGCGTACATTTAACCCTGTTGCTATGCTACAACACCTGTCGCAATCAATTTATAGTTTTTAATATTATTATATTCTATATTAATTCAAACAGTACATGTATGTATCTGGCACGAAAGTCGTAAATATTCATATGAATTTCAAATTCAAATTAGCCATATCGGTCATTCGATGTGAGCGCTTCGTGTCCGGACAATGCTGAGGAGCCGTCGTTAAATCTTCGGTTTCCGCAGAAACTGACCCATGTTAAAATAAGAACAAACACACATACACTCACTCAGAGCTGACAATATGCTCATATATTATGTATTATTATAAATTAATACAAATAAAAAATACATTCACTAGCATTACTCATTAACAATACTTTCTAAAAATCATAATCGTATTGGATTTCTTTGGTATAATTTTTGTGCTACTAAAAGCTATGTATGTTTTGCTATACTTTTAAATATTAATCTATATAAATCCATAATTATTAATATATATTAAATATATTTTATTATATCTGTATAAACAGCACTAACATATTTCAAGTTAGTTACGCCAACTGACAATGAGAGAAGTTATTCTGTCACTCGCTGTTCACGGACTCGCATCATAAAACTCTTAACAAAAAGATTACATTTAACAAAGAACTCTATTACATACACTTAAGACTTATATTTGTTAAGTATAAGCAAGTTCAAAATTAAGCATAATGCATGCCTCATCGTCAATACATTTGCAAGTATGTACCCATTGATTTGACGACCGCTAAGTTCTGGGCAAAATAGAGTTTAGAGTGCTCAAATGTGTTAAAAGGAGGTTTATTTCCTTTCTACATTAACATTATTATTGTATAAATCTAGTATATACCTAATACATATAATCCATTAGTTAATATAACCGTAAGAAAATAACTCCGTTTTGTAGGAGACCAGTTAAATAATATCTTAATGATTATTTTTTCTAAAGATGGTTAGAGAATTTAGTAAATTCACTTATTTGCTTTATAAAAAGAGGCTTAATAGAGTGTATTACATAATATTGATGTTAGTTTTAATAATCTTTTTCAATATATGACATTACATATTTTTTAGAATTTTTTGTACGAAACTATATTAATTAAAGAAATGACTTACAGCCATTGTTTAAGATATAAAAAAAAGTTTCAAACCATAAACCGAGACACTTACAAATTCAACCGCAGATTGATATTATAAAAAAAACTTTAGCACCGCTTCAAAAAAAACCGCCATCTGACCGCAGATCATAGACAAACAATATATATAACAGATAAAAAAAATATTTCACAGGTTAGTGATGTAAACAGGACCTTTGAAAACTTAAGCTTTGTCAAACAAACGTTAACCCGGCGGCGGCTTTAAAGATTGAAAATTATCGATATAAATATATTCAACGATATTTCGCACACCCTTCACATTATAGATGAAGGTTTTGTCAAAACAAATTAACACTTCAAACTGAAGATATATGAATAATATTACTTATATGTAATATTATAAAATTTTTCATATTACTTTTTCATTATATATTTAACTTTAATTCTATTGGATATTGTTTTATTAACATCGTTAATTAATAAAGAGGATAGTTATCTTAACACTTCCGTTATTTAAACTAAATTTCGATGTTGTTCCAATTAAAGCTGTCATTTTTTATGACAGATAAGACAACAACAAGATCTATTATATTATATAGGTACGTATTTTAAAATTAAGACATAATTATAATAAAAAAAAAATTCTAACTCACCAGACATCTTCATTTTTAAATTCCGAACGTATTTTTTAAGACATGCCAATCGTACCTATTGTCAATTTTTTTTAATATCAATACGATAACAAGGTCTATTATAGATTCGCCTTTTAAAATTAAGACATAATTTTAAAAAAAAATCTAACTCACCAGACATCTTCATTTTCAAATTCCGAACGTATTATTAAGACATGCCAATCGTACCTATTGTCAATTTTTTTTAATATCAATACGATAACAAGGTCTATTATAGATTCGCCTTTTAAAATTAAGACATAATTTTAAAAAAAAATCTAACTCACCAGACATCTTCATTTTCAAATTCCGAACGTATTATTAAGACATGCCAATCGTAGCTATTGTCAATTTTTTTTTTATTTATCAATCAATGAACCACCATATTAAGCCACCAGTATCAATGTCACTTCACATATATACACCAGTGTGTCCGTGTATCGTGTGCGTCGGCCGGCGGACGCTCTCACAGTAACGAGAGGAGAGCTCATCCCTAGAATCCCGACATACCCTCGCCCCACCCTGCACCCCTGTCACCCCTCTCTTTCATACATAAGGGACGTCCGTACAAGGTTACTGAATTTTTTTTTTATAACCCAGTCGGATATAAACGTCCGTACAAAGTTGATTTTTTTTTATCTATTTGAATATCGACTGATTTTTTTTATGTTCGATTTGACGTTTAGAATTTTTATTTTTTTAGCTAGCAAAGACTTTAATGGAAAGTGACTGTTTAATAAAAAAAATACCTATAACAGTTCATACAATATAACTGTTGATCTTTTTGAATCTATGTATTATTTATTTTAATAAAAAGTTCATTCAAAATTACCGTTTTTTTTTTCTTTTTTTCTTTGACACTATTCTAGTTTTTTCTTATATGTCATATATATTCTATTACATTATATACCCGGACGTTACGTTCAATATTCTTTGTTCTTTCGCCCTTATTACATATCGACATTACGATATCAATCTCTTGTTTTCTTACTCATAACACCATTACAATATTTTACACCGCTGACGTTCGAACAATGGCCCTTTAGTTATCGACAGCGCTTATAAGTAATCAGTTTCGCCACACGACCAGCTTACTTAGACCTCTGTCGTTTCACGCGAACAGAGTTCAATAAGAGTTTCAGCGTGGATACACCTATAAATGGGAATCCATTTAATAATGGTCGCCATATTGCTTTGATTGAAAAAGAAACTCGATTCAAAACAATCCCTGTCTTATCGTGTCTGGATATATAAAGCAATTATAATTAAATTTATCTCGATAACGCAAAATATACAGCTCAAAGATCAGTAATATTAATTCAATGGTACATGAAATACGTATGAAAATAGGCAGTGTGGCAACTGGCAAGTGAGACGGCAGATAACTAGATAACGTACAAGATCAGTTGCTGCTGTCTGATTGGTTGATATTCCGAGATGGGCGTGGCCAGCGACGGATGCACCAATGAGATGAGCCACATTATCTGCGTCTTTGTCCGTCAGGAGTCTGAAGAACGCATCAAGTACCAATATATAGCGTACGGTAACATATCGAGCAAACGATACGTAAATACGTTAAAAATCGATTATATTTCATATTAATTTTCATTTATTTAGCTGTGAAGCTGACAAACTGAATCAATTTGCGCAGACACGTCCTGATAATCGATTCAAACAGATCCGATAATCGATTTTACAGTCCGACGAATAAATGATAAGAACGTGCAAACAACCAGCTAATGTCTTGAATATGCTGATGTGAAATAATAAAATAAACATATATCTAATAACTAATTATTCTGAAATAGGAAGAATCTTTAAACCTAAAGAATACTTGTATCTAATTAACTTAATATTAAAAGTAATAACGCCCTCAAATTATACACGGAATTATATAAAAATTATTAAAAAACTTACTTTACAGAAAAAAATAGAGACTACCCTACTTTTAAAGTAATATAAATCAATATAATTAACTTCATATTTTTTGTATGAATGAGTTTCACCTTATTAATAGTGAAAGCAATATATTTTTGTTAATATCTCAACTAAAACCCCTTAAAATCAAACTACTTGTGTAGAGCCATTCAATTCTATATACCTATCCTACAAGGAAACGTTGAGCGAATTTACTCAGCGGGGGGTGGCCGCGGCGGCCATCTTGCTTGGACCAAGCGTCAGAACGTCTCAATAGTACCGTATGAAATAACACACTACATATACGTAAATATATAGGTATAATAGTTAGAATAATTACATAGTTTTAAGTCCCTAATGATTGATAATTTATGGTCACAATAAAAATATATATATGTATAAATAACAACACATGGTTGGCATCTATTCTGCCAATGTAGCTAAATAAATCCTCCATCGAAACAAACTCCATGGTATATCCGAGCTGAATTCACAATGACCGGCCATTTGGGACACGACTGCGACAATTTTATTTGCGGAGTCCCCCCCATTCGGTACCTCCCTTTGTTGGCAATTCTTGATACGTTCCTCGCATACTGAAGCAAAAACTTGGATTCCCGAATAGTTTATTACAGTTTTATTCACGTTTACGCTTAATGGCTCGCATGTTAAGTGAACAACTAACTAGATTTATCTATACGTCATTAAAACTCCTTGGATTACATTGGCAGAATAAAATTCGATTGAATCAAATGTCCAAGGAGTTCGGATATTCTAAATTTAAAATCATTGCTATTCATTGATATCGGGATCCGAGTGTCGAGTCCATTGAAAATGCGATCGTATCTCGCAATGGATGCCATTATTTTCAATTCCATTCGTTTCAAACTCTCCCAGGGACAGAATGTGTTTGAGCTGATAAAGATTTTATAGAACTACGATTTACTATATACTATAGTTTGAAATTTTTGACTTTGTGGCCAGTGTGACAACTCAATAGAAAAAAAAAATACTAAAGAATTCAAATTTGGAATGTTATTTGTAGTTGTTTCAAAAAAAAGATTATTTTTAAATAATAATGTAAATCAATGATGAAATAATTATTCCACAAGTCAGATACATATAAGGTTTAAATTCTAAATTTAAATTAATATTTAACATAACAAGGGTGTTTTAAAATAGGTTTTCTTTTATTAATAGATAAGTTGGCAACACAATTTCAAGTGGTCTGATAAAAAATCCATTTCAATTTATATAGTAGACGTACGATAGCCGATGGGTGAGCCTCCCGGGGCGATCCGATTTAAACAGCCAATAAAACTGTATTACATATATAAGGCTTGGACACATCGAATGATTTACTTTATGTTGATTGTAGCTAGTTTATATTGTGTATAACAGGCTTAAAATCATTAATCGAACAAAAAATACGAAATTATTCCTTCATTCTTGACGTCTTTCAAGTTGTTTTTTTATATTATGATTAAATAAGATTCCTTTACAACGCTTATATACTGGAATACGAGATGAAAATTATATAAAAAATTAGATTAGAGAAAAATTATGGTCATTATTAAAGTTACTTATAAGTAACTTCTTCTGCCTGGCAATTTCCCAGCTATACCCAGGGTCTGCCTTACATGTTGTGAAAAGTTTTTGGCTATTTGTTTTTACGATCGGCCGCCTGCCTGACATCAACCCTCTGTTTGGGAATCAACATTAATCAGTGATGTCTAAATACTCTTAGAAAGTACATATGATTCGGAAAAACTTGGTACTTGCCCGGGCCAGGATCGAACCCGCGCCCTCGGCGACGAGAGGCGAGCCCTTTAACCACTGAGCTACCACTGACTACTTAATATAAGTACTTACTTATAAGTAACTATCGCACCTAATCTCACCAAATTATGTTTAAGGAAGCTCATCAACCAAACACCACACTCAATCATCACAAGAAATAGGACAAAGAGAAAAATATTAATTTCCTTCTATTGTAAAATCATCTTAAGATAACCGTGATATTTTTTTTTGGAATCAAAGTATCTGGAACTAGAAGTTTTAATAAACAAATACATATCAATTTAAATTGTAGTTTTTATAAACTCAATTAATACGTGTTTCTAATATATTACAAAAAAAGCTTTATGTACTTCTGTATATGTGTGTAAATCCAAGTCCATTCTATGGCGCTTATTATCTTTAGTAGAATTCTTAAATTGTCACTTCAAATATTTATATTATGATTATAAGTAATCTTTTATTTCGTCCCAAATATAAATAATTGGGTAGGTACTTGTGTAAACAGTCTCTTAATAGTTAAGTAGTCACTTATGTTTGAAAAAAAATGAATTTAAGGTATATATAAAATTTCTTTATGAAAAAAATATTCTAATAAAAGTAAAATTCTACTTAATATTCCCTTTTCAATAACATTTGACTCACTAGACAATAATGCATGCTCATAATAATAAAGTACAAGATGCAATCAGTACATTAATGCAATGGCGACCGATAGAAATGACTCCAAGCTTCTTACCAATTCTGCCCCATACTTAGAAGGTTCAAAACGACTTGATAACGAACAAAGCTGCCTCCATTGATACAGGGACAATGGAACTCGCAAATTATACACCCGGACGGCAATTACGCGCCATAACAACATATATATTTGTATGACAATGATTTTAGTTTTTGCGAAACACGATACGGCGTCACTGTGTGAGAATTTCGCGCGCATTTCTACATATAATTGATGTCAGATATCGTATTTTTTAATCTAGATTCTGGATTTTTTTTTTTCTGTGATTAAAAATATAGAAATAAATATGAAATTTTAATTGTATTTTTTTAATTAGTATATATTTTATTAAATTTGATCAATAAGATCAAGTAATTATCTCATATTTTTATGAACATGGTGACTTCACTATCTAGTGGTTTGGTATTTGGTATCTTATATGAGATAATTACTTGATCTTATTTCGTAGGTTTTTGATTGTTAAGTTTTAGCCGACATTTTGGAGATCCAAAAACCTACGAAGTACAAATCAAAAAATTAATTATTTTTATAAAAGAGAAATTGTAGTTCTGGCTGAAAACCATAAAAGAAATGCAAAAAAAAAATAAAGCTTCAGTATTTTTTTTAAATTATTAATCTCCAAGAAGTTTGTATATAATATGTAACCTCTTTCTATTATGTTATACAGTGTGTTCACAGATGAATACGTATATTAAACAGTATATCTGTCATTTATCCGGTCAGACGCTCTCACAACTGATAGTGGACCCACTTCCTAACATTTTCAAGGAAGACGAACCAACACTATGGTAATCAATTTATTGTTTACAATTTTTATGTCGATTTTTATCGATATCGTAAAACATTTCCGTGTTAAAGGTGACTTATCGGACCGCGGATGCTATTCATAGAATTATATTGTTTTACATTTAAATTTATGTTCATGTGAATCGTAATTGGGTTTGTTAATAATATATTATGATTATTTTCCGTTATTCTCGTATGATAATGGCGTCGTCAGTGATGGCGCCCACTGTTCTGTCAACGCTGTATGTCAAAGGGTTTCTGTGAAGGCGCGAATTAAATATCAGCGGGAGGCTTCAGAGGTGCCCTCAATTCATCTGGACCGGTTCTATCAGGTTTTTGTGTACCCTTTTTGATGTTACATAAAGTAAACGACGATTCACAAGTGCCCTTACGTGTTTTTTTTTTGTTATGTTGGCAGTATTGTAGCTGATATTTTTTCTGTATAATGTTACACTTCAATAATAATAGGAAATATTATTTATGTTTTTAGAATTTTAGATATAGATATTAATAAAGTTTTGATTTTATTATAAATATAATTCCTAATTATTATATACAAACTGTATCTATCATTAAGTTACATACAGATGACACAATAACATACTTTTAGAAACATTCCAAATTCAAATCACGATAAAGCACCATCAACCAACCAAGCATTAGTCTTATGATTTTTAAATTTAGAACAATATCAATCAATCACGCTGTAAATCGAAAAGGAAACAAATTAAGGGTACAAAGTCAAGTTACCCCAATGCCATCAAATAATTAGCTCGCGATAAAATATTGGCAGTCTTTCCCTTCCGTGCCATCTCGAGCCACAACTGTCGATGTCACCTTAATTTACGAGCTTCAATTATAAATTTCACTTCTTTCAAAATTGTCCAAGCAAATTTGAACCTTATTACCTAGATTATACAATTCTGATTTATAATTCGGATTTATTTCTAGGATATCTATATTCTATATATAACCTGACATATGTCATATTAATTTTTCTAAAATCTATAAATATGAAAATAAAAACATAACATTTATGTAGCAATTAATTTTAATATTAGCTGTAGCTTCCCGTTGTTAGTTCTGAGATAAAATTGATGATTAAAGCTTAAAAGTTAACGATTGTGTGTTTTAATGTTTAGTTAGTTTCCTTATGACCCCTGACATTAGATACTGGTGTATTCCTGCTAATTAAATTTAACAGGCCATTGTTATCACTCACTTGTTTGCTTACTGATAATATTATTTCTATATTATATATATTTACTGTTATAAATACGTTATAATTTTTTATATTATAA